AAAGCCAGTGACACTAAACACCACAAGATCAGACAACAAGAAATCAGCAACAACTTCAGAAAAGAAAAAAGGTTACACAAGAGAACTTCACAGTGTGCCATTCAACAGAAGAGATTTACGCTTCTTAATTACTAAAGTGCAAAATTTAGCCACCTCATATGATACTGAGCTTGAGGAATCTTCCAGGAGGTGTTTTCGAAGAATTTCAGGGGAGGATTCCAAATAATATTGAAGGGGTATAAATTTTGATAGAAGCGGTAAAATAAGTTGAACTCGTTCTTCACTATAGAATTCGCAAGATAGAAGAATGTGTGTGACAGATTCTACCTTATTAGACATACAAGGGCAGAGACGCGCATGCATTGGAACTCGCGTGAATTTGCCGTACAGCACTGCTGAGGGCATTGTCTCAAAGCGGGCTCTAGAGAAAGCCCATCTATAGGTTTCGTTAGTGATGTTAGTTAAGTAAGGGGCAGCTACAAAATTAGGCCAAGCTTTTAAACATCTATACGTCTCTGGGAGTAGGGCGCCTTCTTGTTGTAATTCGATATCATAAAGTCTCCGAGTGATAGTAGCTTTTGCCTTGTTCAGAGTTCCAATAAAAATATTTTCAGGGTTTAGGCCAATTTGTTTGATCTTGTTAGTTATTTGCATAAGCCAAGGAGGATAGGGAACTGCGGCCAGGAAGCAAGGTAATAGACCCTTAGGATTGTAATGGATTTTCAGCCAGAGGGATATTGCTTGTTCCCAGACTTTTAATTCCACTCTGGGCAGTCCTGCCTCTTGCCTTAAGACTGCATTAGGTGTACACTTAGGAGTAGCAAATAATGATCTTAAGAATTTAGATTGTACTGTTTCAAGGGTCTTAAGGTTGGCAGAGGGGCTAATTTGAGAGCCATATAGAAGTTGGGCTAAAGATTTTGCCTGAAAGACTGTTAGGGCCATCGGGAGGAAGCCAGCTCCTTTCCTTCTGAATAATCTAAGGATAGCATTTGCACTTCTTTCTGCTGATATAGCTGATGTGGTCAAGTGTGTTGAGAATTTGGCATTATAAGAGAAAGTAATGCCTAAGTATTGGAAGGTCTTAGTCTGTTCAATGGCGTTTCCCTTTACGCTCCAATTATCCTTCCTAAAGGAGCGGTTAAAATGTACAATTTTGGTTTTGGCAAAGTTAATTGTTAACAGTTCAGTGTTACATTGGTCACTAAACTTTCCTAAGGCACGTTTCAGACCCACTTTGGTTTGAGAGAGAAGAACAGCGTCATCCGCATACATTAAAATTGGTACTTTTCTGCCATTAGAGAACACAGGGGGGTGGGTTTCAATTTCACGGCAGCATGTGACCAGGGAGTTAACATAGATGTTAAATAGGAATGGGGCTAATAGGCATCCTTGTCTAACTCCTCTTTGGACTAGGATTTCTCTAGAGAGTCTGCCGTCCTGTGCAAGTCTTATCTGGAGGGTATTGTTCTCATGAAGCTTAATCATCAGAAGTAATAACCTTCTGTTAATACCCATATTGGCCAATTTGGCCCAGAGCCTGCTCCTGGATACAGAATCAAATGCTGCCTTTAGGTCCACAAAGGCCGCATATAATGACTTTTTCCAATATTTCGCATACTTATAGACAAAGTAATCTAACACTAAGCAGTGATCAATGGTGGAACGTCCGGATGTAAACCCTGCTTGTTCAATTTCTAGCAAGTTATTGTGATCTAACCATTCCCATAATTTTAGGCATAGATGTTTTGTATAAAGTTTACAGATCACATTCAGGAGACTAATTGGTCTATAATTAGATGGATCAGAGGGGTTGCCCTTTTTAAATATGGGAACAATTATAGCTAGTCCCCAATCTTTAGGGATTTCAGTTGTCTTATCTATATATGAAAATAGATTAGCAAGGACCGGGGCCCACCAGTTTATTTGCGCTTTCAGAAGTTCAGCGACAATGAAATCACTTCCTGGGGCTTTGCCAGATTTCATTTGTAGAATTAGCGAAGTGATTTCAGTTTCAGATGTTGGGGGCCATGGTGTATCATTATCTAAGGGGATGTTGAGCGGCGCAGAAGGACGATGTTCCCTAAACAGCACTTTATAGTGCTCTTCCCATGAATTTGCAGGGATTATTGTGCCCTCATTAGGAGCTTTGGTTTGACTGGAGATAATTTTCCAGAAGTTGGAATTGTCTTTTTCTATTGACGCTTTTATGAGGGCCTGCCAGATGAGAGAGTCTGCGGTTCTTTTTTGGTTTTTAATAACTCTTTGTAGTTCTTTTTTTTAAGTTGTAACTCCAATTTAGTGATAGGGCTAGGATTTTGCTGGAAGACCTTAAAGCATTCCCTGAGTATAAGTTTTGCCTGAGTGCATTCGTGATCAAACCATTTTTGTTGGTAGAGGAGTCGTTTTGGTTAGATCTTCTGGGTCTTGACAATAACGGTTGGAGTTTTCGGATTAATGTATTATAATGGTCAATTGGGGAGGTCTCTTCAGTGTCGTTGGAAGTCAGATCAGCCCAGAGGAGTTGACCTTCCATTGATTGTGTCCAAATACCAAAATGGTTATTAACATAAGGGGACCATTTAATTCTGGATCTGCCTATTTGTTGTAAAGCGCTAGGATCAGGAGTCTGCGGGGCAAGCCCACATCTAGAGGGTTCCCAAAATTCAGTCCTTTTAAGATTTAGGGGTAAATGGTCACTTTCGGTTCTTATATCTACAGTAAATTCAATATATTCATCGAAGAGTTCTTGGGAGACAAGGATGTAATCAATAACAGAATGCCTTAAGCCTGACCAGTAAGTAAATTGGCCAGGGCAGTCCCCGAGGAGAGGCCGTTTAAAATAACAAGGTTTAATCTAAGTGCCATTAAAAAAGACATGTACCAGCAAAATTGGTAACTGGGTCAAGTGAGTGACGCCTGAATAGGGGCCAATGTTCATCATTAGCATTTAGGGGACCCATTCCACTTTCCTTGATTAGCTGTTCGTCTGAGTGGCCTAGCCTTGCATTAAAATCCCCACCAATAATTAAGGAGGCAGAGGGAAACTTATTTGAGACGAGGAGAATGCAGTCTTCCAGTTCGTTCCAGATGTTTTTAAGATCAGTTTGTTTCATAAGTGGGTGAATATAAACATTGATGCATATGATCTTAAAATGGGTGGAGAATATTTTAACGGCCAAAATCCATTTTTATCGATTTTCAATTGGATAGGGGAGGCTCCTAGATCTGTCGATACGAAGGTGCTCAAACCTCCCACCGGTCTTCCGCCTTTTGGGCCGATTGAGGCAGGGGAATGGAAAGCAAAGTAATTGTGTAGTTCGAAAGGATTTTGCATCCAGGTTTCTTGGAGCAGGATGATCTTGAACTGTGATACATAGGTTAAAACGTCTTTGTCCCTTGTTTTCGATTGCCATCCAGCAACGTTCCAGGATAGTAGTAGGGGTGAGAGTCATTTTGTCTCTTCAATAGCATCTAGGGCTTTCCCGGAGTCGTGGAAGATGCAACCATTGAATGGTTGAGTCTCCGGTAATGTGATTAGGGCGCCACAGAGATTTCGGCGTGGATTTCAGATGGGCAGAGTAGGGGTGTGTGTTCTGCCGTGACCTGAGGAGATTCATGACCCATTTTTCGCTCCAAGTTAGGTGGAATATTTGCCTCTTTTGTGGGCGCTAGATCTTCAAAGTTGCGGAGATAGAGTAATAACTCATCTAGTCTGTCCGTTATCTCTGTTTGTTCGGCTTTTGGCAGATGGGAGAAGGAGACAAGTAATTCCTGCTCCATCGAATTCTCAAGATGAGTAGCCTTTGATAGGAGGGGCATGGGGGTCTCTGTCCAACTAATTAAGTCTGAGGGTGGAGAGGTAGAGCTCGTAGTAGTTGGAATGCCCTCATTTTTAATTGCTTTCCTTTTAACTGGAGAGTAGGGAATAAGAGGGCAAATCTTAGTGTTGATAAAAACTCTTGTGATAAAAATTCTATAATTAGTCAGGTAGCTTCGTAAGGACATCATATAAGTTGGAAGCTTTTTAGAATCAAAGGTGAGCAGTATCCTCTGCATGTGTGGCTTGCTGTAAATGTGGACAGTAGATTTCAGATCGATGGAAAGAGGATCTACGCCCAGAAGCTCAGCTAAATGCCTTCTTGCGACATGTGTAGACGACCAGTTAACAACCTGACCTTTGAAGGGGAGGATAATTAAACAAAGTCTAGTGGCTTGTAACGAAAGATTATAGGAAGATATGGCGTGTAAATCTTCCATAGATTGTTCGTTTTCAGATTTGCAGCCAATCTGCGGGGTTGAGCGTAATAGGGCAGGTACTCTGGGCGTTGGTTCAGCCCTATCCTCCGGTGAAACGTCTACAGGGCTGACATTAACTTTTGGGGCTACAAAGGATGTAATATTCTCTAAGGAGCCTTTGATGTCTCTTATGTATTTAAAGATACAGTCCACGGTTTTAGCCACTAGGTCTAACGTAGTAGAGTGTTCAAGCAGTAATTCAGAGAGATAGTTTGCTTGTTCTCCGATGCAGTCTTCCGCCTGAAAGGGCATAGTTGGAGCTTTTTTGGGGCCTTTTGGTCTCGTGATGGTGTTGTCTAAGGAGTTATTGGGTTGTTTAGTGGGTGGTTCCTTCGGTGTAATTTCTTTATCTATTATCTCTGCTAATGGCGAGAAGCTGTTCGAGGTCGGAATATTAAAAGTGTCCTTTGTTTTTCCATAGAAGAATTCGCTGATTTTGGTTTGCTTGGTAACGGGCAAACATGCCATTTCCTCTAAGTCCTCAGATTCTCTGCAGCGTTTCCCAACCCCCCTCCTCGCATCAGCAGGGCTGTCTAATTGCTGAGTCATCTCTCCCTTTGCCTCGCTCTTTTATCTTCCCTAAGTTTTTCAAAGAGTCGAGGGAGTATTTTCCTTGAAAGTATCCTATTCAAGGAGGAGGAGTGTGCCAAAGGTTGTTGGCATGACACTAAATTATGCTCCGTCTGTGCCTCCAGACTTATGGTGGGAGCAGCCCATGAATCTTCCTGTAAGCTCTTCGCAGTGTGATAAGATAGTCAATGCGGCTTTAAAGCTCCAAGAAGAGTCAGGGAAGCGGAACGTGGGATAGAATGGGGTGAGGTGCTTAAATTTATCTGAGCTCAATATTCATTAAAATAGTCTTTAAAAGGAGTAAGAGAAGATAAAAAGATAAAATCAATGGGCTCACATTAGTAGAGTGCTGTCCGCCATCATACCGGAAGAGGAAGTCCCCAACTGAGAATAATAACAAGAATCTATTCTTTATTAAATTTATATCCCTTCCTTCACCCTTTGGGGGAAATTCACCTTGGGGGCTCAAGTATGAAGGCTCACATCAAATTCCCAGTCAGCCAGACTTATTCAGTAATGCATCATTGGACAGAGTCTGGAAGAGATTTTCATTAGGACACACACAATATAGGAAATGTATTTCATTCTTAGCTGTTCATCCTTTACCCAACCGCTTTCTCTCACTTCAGGAACTCACCATCTTCCATCCAACCACAGTCCTTGGAAACACTTACTCAATCCTTTTTTTTTTTTTTTTACTATATGCGTTAGCACCCTCCTTGTACCTTATCTGGAGTTGTTTTTCACTTTAGCATTTAGCTGTTAGGTTTCTCCTTAACTGGTTTTTACCAGTTTTGCGGACAGGCTGCATTCTTGTGTACATGACACTGCACTCACTGATAATGAGCCTAGCAGAAATTCCACGTTGTTGCCAAAGGAGCCCAGGGTGGCAAACAGACAAATTATAAAACAGCTAAATACAATGCTAGTAACAGATGCAGACTGGGAAAGATCTCTGCTCAAGATGCTTGGTAGAAGAGGAAGGTCTTCAGCAGGCATCAAAAACACAGCAGAGATGTTGTTGTTTAGTCGTTTAGTCATGTCCAACTCTTCGTGACCCCATGGACTGGAGCACGCCAGGCACTCCTGTCTTCCACTGCCTCCCGCAGTTTGGTCAAACTCATGCTGGTAGCTTCAAGAACACTGTCCAACCATCTCGCCCTCTGTCGTCCCCTTCTCCTTGTGCCCTCCATCTTTCCCAACATCAGGGTCTTTTCCAGGGAGTCTTCTCTTCTCATGAGGTGGCCAAAGTATTGGAGCCTCAGCCTCAGGATCTGACAGCAGAGATGGTGCCTGTCTAATATTTAAGGACAGGGAACTCCAAAGGTGTGGCAACACTCAAGGCCAGATTCCTGTATTGGGCAGAATGGACCTCTGGATAAGATGATATTGGCAGGAGGTCCTCATCTGCAGAGCGCAGTGATCAGTTAGGTATATAAGGGGTGAGACAAACTTTCAGGTAAAATACTTTTTGTCATGGTTAGCATGCTGTGTTTGCTGGAACGTAACTAAAACATGGTTGAAATAAATGAGTTATATAATGCAATGAACCGAAAGCAATGCCCACACTATATATCTGTTTCAGTGTCCTGTTTTAATGCCCTCCTTACCTCCCTTCTTTGTGGCTGTGAGACTGTGATGCTATCCTAGTCAGGTGAAAAGATTCCAGCTTTGCTGCCTAAGATCTGTTTTATAATGCAAAATGATGGGGTTTCTCATAGGGAGCTTTTGGAATCTTGTCAAATTCCTAGCATCAAAGACTTAATGAGCCAAATTCACATCAGACTTTCTACATGGTGGCCTCCTTTCAACCTAAAATGATGCTCTGTGGAGAACAGAGCATGTGAATTCACTACAGAGCCCCACACTTTTGAAAGTCAATCTCATCTTAAAGCGTGTAGGAAATAAATTAAAACCCGGGAGCTAACGACACTGGATATATTAGATCAGCAGTGGGGAAACTCAAGCTCGCTGGTCTAATTAGACTTGCCTTGTCTCTGAATTTGGAACCAAGGCCCTGTCTATGAATTTGAAAATCATACCCACCTGTTAGTCACCTGATATGACAAGACACCAGACGCACAATCTTATTTCTGATTTAAGTACTAAGATTGGAGATAAGGGATCTCAGATGTTAGGGTTAAGTGCCAAAGCACTAAGACCCAAGATATGCAGGAAGGCATGAAAAAGGCACCAGGCATAAAAGAACCTCTTTCTGCTCTTTAAAAGGCAAAAGACAGAAGGCAAGAGGCTTATCTCGCATCTTACTGCTGTGATATTACAGCTGCCTTTCATCTTCAAAGACCAAGCCGGGGTTTGGCTTTGAGCTTAGTGCTGTGGGACCACAGGGCTAAGGTGAGGGATAAGCCTCTACTTGCTCCTGGCTTCAGCTTTGAAATCATATGATGTCAGATGATTGACAGCCGGGTGACTCCACCCATCTGTCCAAAATGGCCCACAGATGGTAGGCCAGTTCAGGATCCAGCCCTCTGGCCATAAAAGCTCCAGTTCACCAGTTCTAGATGGAGAGCCTGTGTCTTAAGGCTTTAGCTGTTTCCAGAGGGATAACTGTGCCAGTCTCTTTGCAGCAAAACCAACAAAGGAAGTTTTGCGGCACCTTTAAAGGCTATGAAATTTATTGTGGCGTAAGCTTCTGTGGACTGCTGTCGTTTCACCAGATGGTTTAGCTTCTCTTGAGGGCTGGCATGTGCAGTCTCCCTTGTGGAAAATGGCACATTGCAAAGCCAGAACGGTAAGCTCCATCCCTCTCACACTAAGACGTACATTTGCATCGTATACAGATGTGCCTGCCTGTCTCAGATCTGACGCATCTCAGGAGGGAAACTATAATATCCTAAAGATGTAGGACTATAATACTTGCATACTCATACATGTTAGCAACGAGGAAAAGCAAAGTGTGTATATTAGCGCTGGGCTGGAACCTGTAATCCAATTTCTGGAAAGTTTCATCTCCTATAAAAGAGGCTTTTTTTCTGCCTCATTTGCATTTGCAGGGTGGTTATAATTTCAGTAGGGACGTGGGTGGCGCTGTGACCTAAACCACAGGGTCTAGGGCTTGCCAATCAGAAGGTGGGTGGTTCGAATCCCCGCAACAAGGTGAGCTCCCGTTGCTCAGTCCCTGCTCCTGCCAACCTAGTAGTTCGAAAGCACGTCAAAGTGCAAGCAGATAAATAGGTACCACTCTGGCGGGAAGGTAAATGGCATTTCCGTGCGCTGCTCTGGTTTTGCCAGAAGCGGCTTAGTCATGCTAGCCACATGACCCGGAAAAACTGTCTGCAGACAAACACCGACTCCCTTGGCCAGTAAAGTGAGATGAGCGCTGCAACCCCAGAGTCGTTCATGACTGGACTTAACTGTCAGGGGTCCTTTCCTTTTTTTAAGGTGCTACTGGACAATTTTTAATTTTTAAAAAAATTATTTCGACTGCGTCAGACCAACATGGCTACCTACCTGAATCTACGTACATACAAACATGCACATACATAGACAAAATATCCAGGCCAACTCAAGCATCAGTCTTTCCACTCAGCAGACAGTAGAAAGCCATTAAAGGGTTTCCACTTACTTTATAAGTGCTATAGTGGATGACATTTTCTCAAGTCTTCAAATAGCTTTGATGTTTATACGTTAATAAATCTGCAAATTAATGAAGTAAACAGCTTTTGTAGGTGTCAGTTGAACAAACAACCCATTAAAGCAATTTACAGCTGATGGCACGTCAAAGCCTAATTTCCCTGTATACACTTCTAGAGCCACATGAAAAAATGCAGGCGTCGTCATTTCAGCGCATTGGTTACAATTGGGGGTTAGCTGCATTTATTTGACACAATTGTGCACCCTATAACACAATGCAGTTATGCGATTATGTTGAACTCCTGGCAGGCCAGCCTCATGCTTAGCACCAGTTGGCAGAGCTGCTTAGGATCTAGACTCAAATATATATATATTTAGGATGGCAGTGAACAAACTCAAAATTAACTGAAATGTCAAATTTTGCAATACAGATTTGGAACCTGAAATTAGAAATGTGACTCTTTGGGGAGCTAGAGGCATATCGAAGAAACGTCCTATCATAAAATGATAGAATTGTTGAGTTGGACAGGACCCAAAGGGTCATCTAGTTCAACTCTCTGCAATGCAGGAATCACAACTGAAGCATCCATGACAGATGGACATCTGAGCTCCCCTTGAAAACCTTCAATGAAGAGGAGTCCTGATTGGTTAAATGCATGGAATCAGTATACAGTGGTACCTCGGGTTATATACGCTTCAGGTTACATATGCTTCAGGTTACACACTCCGCTAACCTAGAAATAGTGCTTCAGGTTAAGAACTTTGCTTCAGGATAAGAACAGAAATTGGGCTCTGGCGGTGCAGCAGCAGCAGGAGGAGGCCCCATTAGCTAAAGTGGTGCTTCAGGTTAAGAACAGTTTCAGGTTAAGAACGGACCTCCGGAACGAATCAAGTACTTAACCTGAGGTACCACTGCAGTACAAATGCAATTCACGCAATATATAAACCATGGAATTTGCAGTGATAGCTGCCAACTAGGATGGCTTTGAAAGAGTATTAGACAAATTCACGGAAGTCAAGGCTATCAATGACTCCTAACCCAGCTGCCTTCTTTGTGGTCTTCCCACAGGCATCAGGTTCTCCACTGTGAGAACATGATGCTGGACTTGGTGAACTACTGGCCTGAAGCAGCTGGCTCTTCTGACATTCTTCAACATTACCTTACCCCCTTCTACCGATTACATGAATGAAGGGGACACCATCAGGGATAGATCTACATGTCAGTTTGCATTTCTTAGTGCAGAAAGAGGGTTCTGGAAGCTGCTCTGTGTGAAAGAAACAAGCAGAAGGTTCCTGTTGTTTGG